GAGAACGAGGAGAATACTAAAGAGCGTTAAGCAACAAGCACTTGTGTGACAAGATCATTTGTACACCAAGCCTCAGTGACACGCAATTTACCCATGTAACAAACCTGCACACGTATCCCCTAAACCTAAAAGTAAAAAAAAAAAGAAGAATAAGAAAAAAAAAAGAAACAAGTGAAGCAGCATTTAAATGAGTAATGGAAATGAAGCAAACCCCACCTCTTTCACAAGTACAGGTGAAATAGGAAACTTTTAAGGTGCAAGGGAAAATAGGTTGGGGCAGAGTTTCTCAGCTTCAGCATTAATGCCATTTGGACCTAATCATTCTTTGTTTTTTGAGTGGGGTGATGGGGCTGTCTTGTGCACTGTAGGATGTTTAGCACCATCCATCACATCTACCCACTAGATGCTAATGGAACATCCAAACTACCCCCGTGAAAAATGTTGTAAGCCATTGCCAAAGTCCCCGGGATACGAAATGGTCCCAAGTTGAGAACAACCGGATTAGTGTATTTGTTATCTATTTTTGGATAGCAAATTATCTCTCACATTTAGTGACTTAAAACAATAAACACTTATTTTACAACTCTAGTTGCTATGGGGTAAGCATTTGAGAGTAATTTAGTTGGGTGGTTCTGGTTCAAGGTCTTTGATGAGGCTGCAGTCAAGATGCAATCATCTGGAGGCTTGACTTAGGCTGAAGGATCCACTTCTAAGATGTCTCACTCACGTGGTGATGGCAGCAGGCCCCAGACTCTGGTGGTTGTTGGCAGGATGTCTCAGTTCCTTGCCATGTGGGTCTCTACATAGGGCAGCTTCCTGTGTCTTTGCCATATGGCAACTGAGAATGATCTGAGAGAGAGTGGGAGAGGCTCCATGATGCCTTTCTATGGCCTGGTCTTGGAAGTGACACACTGTCACTTTTGCTATATCTATTAACAACAAGTTACTAATTACAGTCTACATTCAATTTGGAAGAGAATTAGGCCCCACTGGTTTATTTTTTTAAATTTTATTTTATTTATTTATTTTTTTTTCGAGAGGCAGCCTTGCTCTGTTGCCTAGGATGGAGTGAAGTGGCGCGATCTTGGCTTACTGCAACCTCTGCCTCCTGGCTTTTTTATTTATTTATTTTTTTTGAGACAGAGTCTTGCTCTCACTCTGTAACCCAGGCTGGAGTGCAATCATGATGCACTCATGACTCACTGCAGCCTTGACTTCCTGGGCTCAAGTGACCCTCCCACCTCAGCCTCCAGAGTAGCTGGGATTACAGGTGCACACCACCATGCCCAGCTAATTTTTTTATTTTTAGTAGAGATGAGGTCTCACTGTGTTGTCCAGGCTGGTCTCAAACTCCTGGGCTCAAGCAATCTTCTCACCTTGGCCTCCCAAAGTCCTGGGATTATAGGCATGAACCACTGTGCCTGGCTAGGCTTCACTTTTTGAGGGCAGAAGTATCCACATATTTGAAGACATATTTTATTAAGAAATTAAAAAAAAAATTCTTAAAATTATAATAGAGACAGGGTGTATTAGTCTGTTCTCATGCTGCTAATAGAGACATACCCGAGACTGGGTAATATATAAAGGAAAGAAGTTTAATTGACTCATAGTTCAGCATTGCTGGGGAGGCCTCACGAAACTTACAATCATGGCAGAAGGGGAGGCAAGCACATCCTTTTTCACATGGTGGCAGCAAGGAGAAGTGCTGAGCAAAAGGGGGAAAAGCCCCTTACAAAACCATCAGATCTTGTGAGAACTCACTCACTATCACCAGAACAGCATGAGAGTAACTGCCCCCATGATTAAATTATCTGACACTGGTCCCTCCCACAACACATGGATATTATGGGAACTACAATTCAAGACAAGATAAGGGCTGGGGATGGTGGCTCATGCCTGTAATCACAGCACTTTGGAAGGTCGAGGCAGGAGGGTCGCTTGAGATCAGGAGTTCGAGACCAGCCTGGCCAACATGGTGAAATCCCATCTCTACTAAAAATTAAAAAAAAAAAAAATTATCCAGGCGTGGTCGCATGTGCCTGTAATCCCAACTACTCGGGAAGCTAAGGCAAGAGAATCACTTGAACCCAGGAGGTGGAGGTTGCAGTGAGGCAAGATCACACCACTGCACTCCAGCCTGGACAACAGAGCAATAATTCATCTCAAAAAAAACCAAAAAAAAAACAAAAAAAAAAAGATGAGATTTGCGTGGGGACAGAGCCAAACCATATCACGGGGTTTTGTCATGTTGGTCAGGCTGGTATCAAGCTTAAGTGATCCAACTGCCTTGGGTTCTCAAAGTGTTCAGATTACAGGTGTGAGCCACAGTGCCCAGCCTGTAGACATATTTTAAAACCACTACAGTTAGAGAACAATTTTTTAAACAAATGGTTTGGGGGAATACCCTGAGCTATTTTTAAAAGAATAAAAGTTAGATCATCGTTGTGAAATAAATCTTAGAAAATTAAATTATTTAATGAAAAAAGTAAAATGTCAAACAAGTAGAAAAAAGTAAAGACAGATGAATTATATGATCTCAGGATGCGAAAGATGTGTGAAGTAAAAAATAATGAAAGAATACAAAAATGGAAACGATCAATAGTTTCACAAAGGATTAATATCTACATTGCATGAAGCACCCTTTTGTGAAATACCTCAGTAAGAAAATGGACAAAGGACAAAAAATAAGCTACCATACATACACATATGAAAACATACCGTGATGATTTGGGCACATGGAAGAAGGACAATCACATACTGTCATGTAGTGCTGTGGGAAAATTGATAACCATTTTGACAGTAATTTCTTGATTATGTGCCATGCTCATGTGTTAAGTAGCTCTATGCGTGTTACTTACAGCAATTTATATATTATTTTACTACAACATGTGGAAGCACTATACTAATTTTCTAGTTGAGGTACAATTAGATTAAGCAATTGGCCAAATCTCTCAGCTTATAGGTGGCAGGTGGGTCAGGTTATCCATTAGGCACAGTAGACACAGTGCCTCAGGCTTATAACACTTTCTGGGGCCCACAAAAATGTTTTAATTTCTTTTAAAATCAGAAGACAAAAAATTGAATGTTTAGGTCAAAGAAAATATTTTAATGCATAATGGTAATATCTTTGTCTTCATACCAATGCAGTAATAAAATACATTATGTAGTATTATTTTATGGAAGATGAGGCCCACACAGGTATAACACCTAGGGTCTGTGAAAGTCAGAATGTGGCACTGGCTGGCAGAGCTGTGTTTTGATGCTGGGTGATGTGATACCTGAGCCTATGCTCTTTCTGGAAGGTAGTTGCCAATATGTTTCAAAAGGGCTAAACTTGTTCACACTTTTTTATTACTTTTAATAATTTATCTAAGACAGTGAATAAGGACATGAACAATGGTTATGGAATGCTATTTATAATATTGTTCATTTGAAACCAAACAGATAGTCAATAACAAAAGGCTGGTTCAATATTGGGTGTCAGCTTGGGGACTAGGTGAGTACTAAGAGCTTCTGAGCAAGGGAGGAAATTGAGCAATGAGGGGAGCTGAAAGTGAAACACAGAGCAGGAAGCAGGAGGCCTGCATGCATTCTAGAGAAGGAGTCCAGATCCCTGCTGGGGAATACCTAAGGAATTTCTGAGGACGTGTTTGTAAGCACATTATTGCATTTATTTAAAGGGACCGGACAGCAAAAGAAAAAGATGAAGAAAATCTTAGTACATGTTTAAAGCAGAGATGAGTGGGCACATATGGGGCACTGTGAAGAGTTTTTCATAACAGGAGAGAGAGAGCATGTGAGCATCAAAGGAACCTTGAATATCACGTTAATCTTTGTCAGGAGAGGTCCGAAAAGCCAACGAATGATTTTAAGCAGTGGAGTGACACAGATGTATATTTTCGAATGATCTTTGTGTATATAATGTGCACCAAATTCAAGTGTGAAACCAGAGGGCAAGAACTAATGCATGGAGGTAGGCGGGAATGTGCACTGTTCAGTCAAGATATACTTGTTGAATTCTGTACACACTGATGAAGCGATGGCGCTGTTTTTGGTACACAGTTCAAAAGCTCAGTTAAAATGGAAGGGGAGAGAGAACCACAGGTTTTAAAATCAAGGGAAAATTTAGGACCTAGTCTTAAAACGTGATTATGCTGAGAGTTGTAGGCAGTGGAGACAGTGAAGTTAAAGATGTGCCAAGGACCGCTCAAAATGGGGAGCAGGCAGTGGAGAGGGGCAGGGGCATCTGGCCCTAGATAGAAGGAAAACTAGTAAGTCTGGGTGTGGACGTAGATATAATCTATCGGGGTTGGTCAGGTGGTTGGGAAAGCTGTAGAAATCCATGCCTGAAGGCTTCTGCTTCTCTGAAGTAGGAACCGGATCACCTGGTAAGTAATGTGGTCTCACGGACTTCTATTTGCATATTGACCTTTCTTCTAAAAGCAATACATATAACCAGCAGCACTCTTCTAAACCAGTTGACTTTTCTGTAAAATGCAGACAGTAGACGCTACTTTATCAGATTGTTGTGTGCGTTAGTTGTGCCAACACGTGTACTTGGTCAGTAAGTATCTGCTTTATCACTGGGCTGATGTGAGTGAGGACTAGGTGGTGGGACTTCCACAGATGAACGTTTTGATTAATAAAAAACGGACTGAAAGTCTTCGGGTATGACCAACAGCTAAATGCAATTATTTACTCTTGCAATGGGTTCGAGGTCAAACACTCAGGTCACGGAGTATTTATGAACAGCCTACTTTTGCCCCCGGACTTTAAGAAGTCCTGTTCCGGGCTCGACCGCCGACCGGAAAGTCAAATTAGCAGTGCCCAGAGCGCGTTTAGAGCAGCCCCTGCCCAAATCTCAGCGACGGCCCCGCCCCTTCCACAGGTTCAGGCCCCGCCCCTCCCTGCTATTGGCTGTCCCTCCCCCTCCGCTCGACCGCTCGGAAGACCAGGAGGAGCGGAGTTTTCCTAAGGCAGCATCCGAGCGCCCTCGCTGCGCATGCTCGGGGGAGGCGGATTCCGGGTCCGGAGTTGGAGGCTTTGGGCGGCCGCGGCGTAGCGCGCTGTGCCGGGGCCGGCGGGGAGGCGCGCGCTCGGGGCGCGGCGCCGGCGACGCGGCCACGCGGCGCGCTCCCGAGGAAGGGAGGTGTGGGGTCGGCTGGGGGTGGCGCGTGGCCGGGGTGGGGGTGGGGGGAGGGTCGGGTGTCGGCAAGCTCCGCGTGCGGGTTCCGAGTGGCTGCTGGCGGCCTGGGCTGCCGGGGCCGACGCCTGGGTGGCTGCCGCCGCCGCGCCTGCTGCGAGATGGCGATCTTGGGCGCGGAAGGGTGAGGGCGCCCGCCGCAGGAGGAGGTGCCGCTGCCGTGGCCGCCCGGCTGCCGGGAGCCGACAGCTTCGCGCCGGGTAAGGACGGCGCGGCGCGGGGCTGGGGGTGCGGGCGCCCAGGGCGGGAGGGGGCACGGGCCCGGAGCCTTGGTCGCGGTGCTGGGCGCCCGGCGCCGTCCGCCTCCGGGCTGGACCCTCCTAGGGGCCGTCGGGGGACGGTCCGCCCTACCTTGGCTGCCTTCTCCAGCCAGGGAGTCGGGAGTTTTCTAGGGTGGGGTCACGGGTCTTACCCGGAGTTCGTCCTGGCACAGGCCTGTGCCAGTGATCCTGGAGCGGAGCGAAGTGTTTCCGTGACTCTGCAGCTGCAGTTCTTAGGCTTTCTTAGCCTTCTCTTCGCCTTCCTCCACCTTTCCCTAACACCTCCCTCAAAACACAAATATATGGACTCATTGCCCGTGCCCTGACTTTAACCCCAATTTGAGCGTTGCAAACCAAGGACTCCAGCCTTGGAACGTCTTTTTCTGACATGTTTTTATCACTCCCCGTTCTTCACCGACTCTGCAGCTCCCCATCCCCCGCCCCCCCATCGCAACCCCCACCTCCACCTTTTGTGACCTGGTAGGTTCCAGTGACCTTGCAGATTTTACCAGTCCTTATCTTGTCTGTGACTTACAGACTTTCCTTTCATCTTCGTGTCCTTTTTTAAAAAAATTTAATTTTGTAGTTTGCTCCTTACCTTTACGACCTTTAAATGATCAGTCTTGTTCACAGTCCTTTCTTTGCTCTGTCGATTTGGAGTTTTCTTTGCTCTGGTAAATATATGAAACCTTCATTACCAAAGAAGAGTAGTGTCTGTTATAATTTTGACATTTTTACTCTTCCAGAATAAAAATATTTTTCAGGGGCTTGATTTTGCTTTCTTTTTCTATTTGATAAGTTTAACAAAATTTTGTGTGTGTGTAGGTTAATGTAGAACAAGATTTTGTGTTTCTGCTTTAAAATGTTACTAGTAATAGTAATGGGGGAAAAAATCATGTCCAAAGTTATATTTGTTTTCCCCATTTGGTGTTTTTACCTGAAATACTTGGTTTACAGTTACCTGCATTTTTTTTTTTTTTTAAAACGAGTTCATGTGTAAATCCACTTTACCTGCCTCACCAAATCTGTGTGTATTACGCAAGCAAAATGCACCTTTTAAAAAAGAAAGACATTCTTTTATTGTGTGACTTGTTTTTAGCCATCAAGTAGTAAATTAGCTGCGACTAGAAATGATCATTTTTTATAAATGGTTAGTATGTTAAAAAATGGAAAGTGTAGTGGCCAAGTGTTGGGAGCTACTCAGATTGGGAATTGTAAAGTATTTGGAATAGTTCTTTGGGACATAGCTTATTAACATTTTCAGATAGTTCTTACCTTAAAATGCGAAACTGCTGGTAAGATCTACATCAGGGTTTTGAAAAGCAATAATTATGAGCTACCGGCATAATACAGGATGTCACAGATAAAGTCTCTGCCTTCAAAGAGATGGTAATCTTTGCTGTTTACCCCACGGTGGCTGAAATTTCCTTTACTTCCTTGTACAGTTGTTAAGCATTTACTGCATAATTGTGGGAGGTATTTTGGGGAATACAAAGATGAACCGATTAGCAGTTTCTGCCTTCACACTAATTAGGTAGATAGTGCTATACACAAATGCCCTATTTGTCTTTTAATATATAAGTTTCATAAATGGTACCAAAATCCTCTCAGAAGTAAACTTCAAAGAGTAGAGCTCAGATCTTACTTGGCAAGGTAGAGATAAGAGGGTTAGTTTGTAGAGCTTATGGCTTCTGAAATCATGGTTTGGAAGGACGATTATGACTTTGGATAGGCAGGAAAGGTAATCCAAGCAAAGAGGTATCTCTCTAAGAGAGCACAGAGTCCCTATTTAGGGAGAGGCACGTACTTATGTTTGGATGGAACATAAGCTTATTTGTACCAGGATAAAGGATGGTAAAACTTGAAGGGAAAATTTGAACTAGTTTATGGGTTGTTTTTAATGCCAGGCTTATGACCTTGGATTTACTAGGTGATGGGGCTTCCACAGATGATTTTGAGTTGGGAGTGAAACAATTTGAACACTTTGTTTCAGAAGGATTAGTGGGATAGCGGCCTGTAGTGTGAATTGAGGTAGGGAGAACCTGGAGGTAGAAAGACCTCCCAGTTTTTGTAGTCATGGGTAGTGAGGATCTGAGCTGTGGTGCAGGCGAATGGAAAGGAAGAAAGGAAGTCGAATAGCCAAAATGGATGAGAGGGCAAGTGAAGAAAGTAAAAATAACTGATTCTGATTCAGGTTGGTTGGGAGAACAGTGGTACCATTTTGAGCAAGATCATGAAGCTTTACCCTTAGCATGTGTGTGCTACTTTACAACTTTTGGGGGATTACTAATTCTTGGTAAAACTTATGCTGGCCTGGAAATTTTCCATATGTGCCTATGCTTCGTGGATATAATTTTAGCGGAGTCCATGGGCCACCTGAAGGTCATCCACAACACTCATGTCGGAATTACTTGGAGCTTTTTTCTATTTTCGAGGCAGGATTTCTTTCACTCCTGTCCCTATGGTTGGAGTGCAGTGGTGCCTTCTGGGTGCATTGCAACCTCCGCCTCCCAGGCTCAAGAGATTCTCCTGCCTCAGTCTCCTGTGTAGCTGGAACTACAGGCACTTGCCACCACACCCGGCTAATTTTTGTATTTTTTTTTTTTTTTTTGTAGAGACGGGGTCTCACTATTTTGCCCAGGCTTGTGTTGAACTCCTGAGCTCAAGCGATCAGCCTGCCTTGGCCTCCTAAGTGCTGGGATTACAGTTAGGGCGTAAGCCACCATGCCAGGCCTACTGGGAGCTTTTTAAAACAGTAGAACCTTCAGATTCCTCTATGTATTGATAAGAACTCTTACTGTAGAGATATGCCGTATATATACAGAGACACAATATTACATTTGTGTTGTGGTTTACAGTTTACAGAGAATTTTGACTAATGTTATTTACTATTATATTACAGAATAAACTAGCCCGGGAGTTTAAATGATTTGCCTGAAGCATTATTCAGCTGGTGGGTAAAGTGGAATCAGGAGATTGTTGACAATGATGGTTTTCTTTTATGTATGAAGATAATACAATGGCTTTACCATCAATTAAATATAGTTACTGCCTTTAAGTGACCTTGTCAGTAAGACTAGATGATCCCACAAGATTCCTTCTAGTTTTTAACATTTTGTGATTCTCGGGTCCTAGACTTTCGTCAGAGTATCTACCCTCCTTGTTTAATATGTGCATGAGAGCTGGTGAGTCTAAGGGATGAATTGGGTAGAGAAGAGCAGTTAGCAATATCAGGTGATTTATTTGGATTGTTACTTTATTTGTATGTCTCACTTTGGGCTAGGGAGTAGGAAGGAGAGAGGTGACGTAAGTGAAATAAGAAACTTTAAGAACTTTATCGGGAGGCTGAGGCAGGAGAATGGTGTGAACCTGGGAGGCGGAGCCTGCAGTGAGCCGAGATGGCGCCACTGCACTCCAGCCTGGGCGACAGAGCGAGACTCTGTCTCAAAAAAAAAACAAAAAACAAAAAACTTTATCTTCTCTATTCATTTATACTTTCAGAATACTCTTTTCTTTCAGGAAGGCTTTATCAAATAAAAATGAAGACTTTACAAAGTAAATGAAGATTCCTATTCAATTTTTTGTGGGTGGATTAAGTAGCTAGCTAGTATAGTTAAAACATAGTGTGATTGGTAAACAGTTGACCTTTCTGTACCTATAAGATTATCTCCCTGGTAATAGGTTAGCATGTTATTGCATGTTAATACACTTTGATTTCATAATTATTAGAAAGACTGGGTTTTTTACTCTATAAAAATGTGATACGATTATAATGAGCAGTGGAAAATCCAATAAATTGCCCTTTATAATGGTATCCAAGGAACTAGTTAATAATACTTAATGGAGGAAAAATGATACAAACATACATAGATAAATTTTACTGTTTTAGCTGGCATTAAGAAGAGTGTTATAGCTTATGTTAGTATAGCATTTCACATTTGTAAATAATAACTATATTTATCGTTTGGTTCTCATGACAACTGATAAGTAAGTGTGTTAGTAATAATTGCTTTATATTTTATTTTATTTTATTTATCTATTTTTGAGACAGGATCTTGCTTTGTTGCCCAGGCTGGAGTTTAGTGGCGCAGTTATGGCTAAACTACAGCCTCGACCTCAGCCTCCCAAGTACTTGGGACTACAGGTGTTTGTCATGACACCCAGCTAAATTTTTAAATTTTTTTATAGAGATGCGGTCTTGCTGTGTTTCCCCAGGCTGGCCTCTAACTCCTGGACTCGTAGCCCTCCCACCATGGCCTTCCAAAGTGCTGAAATTACAGGCATGAGCCACCGCTTCTGGCCAGCCATTGCTTTTTAGATGAATATGCTGAGGCTAAAAAAAAAAAAGTTTAAAAAGTTACATTTCCAGAGTGGCTAGTTAGTGGCCACAATTAGAACTAAAACTAAAACCTTATTTTTGTTCCTATGTCAGTATTCTTTTCCCACCCGACTTCTTGCTCTTCATGTACAATGGAACATTAGTTAAGAGCTGTATGTGAAGGATTTGAATTTACCTGTTTGGATTGTATTAAACTTTTGTACCGTGTAGAGGTGAATTTGTCGGTTTTTTTCCTTTGTGTTAAAATGGTAATCTCACTGCAGTGGCTACTGGTAGGTGATATTTAAATTTGTAAGCATTGTGCCACAGAATAGTTATTCTGTCAAGGATAAAGCAGAAGTTGATTTCTTATCTGGAAAAGTACACTGGTGAAATGTAGATATTTATTTTATTTTGAAAATTTTGAATTCTGTTGCTTTTACAGATGAAGTTTGTGTTTCCCTTTTATAAAAGCTTAGTCTTTGAAAATTTGCATTTTTTGAGCATATGAATCAGGATCTAATTTCCAAAATATATATAAAGTGGGTATCCCTAATTCAAAGTTTGAAATGCTCCAAAATGGGAAACTTTGAGGCACCTACATTACTCAACAGAAACACCC